ACACTCTCTCTCACACACTCACACACTCACACTCTCTCACAGACACACACACACACACACACACACACATGTCTGAAGGTCACTGAACTTAAGCAGGGTGAATCAGGCTGTGCTTCTCACTAAACGCAGTGATGCCTGTGATCCGAGCGATGCTGCAGAAACCCGTCAGGAGCTGAGTGTAAAAACCAAGCGCAATAATATGCTTTCGCTCCTCAAACACATCGCGGCTCTATAAGCACCTGCATCGGGCCGCTCGGCTCTTGGTTGAGAGTGTTTATGAGACGCTTCACAGGTTAAAATAGCAGCGGCGTGATTGGCGTGCTGGAATCAGGAGGAACACACACGAGTGCCTTCACTGCGCTTCTACAGCTTTCTGTTCTACCTCCTCTTATACTAGAACCATATTTATCCCTAAAAACATCTCTATTCTCTCTTTTGTGTGCCAGGGCTTGTTCTAAACCTCTAACTTTACATATAAATATAAATATATTTAATTAAAAATATATTTTTTTAATTTTATAATATAAATTCAGAAAAATAAAATATAACAAAATAAATATTTCGCTAGAACTCTGTATTTATCTCTCTTTATTTTATTTTTTACAGCCTCTATTCTATCTAATTTGTGTGAAATATAAATAAAAAAATAATTTTAGTATTATTAATTACATTTTATTTTAAAATAATTACGTTTTATTTTCAATTTTATAATATAAATACATAAAATAAATTAAATATTAACAAAATAAATATTATAACAAAATAAAACTTAGAATTTAGCCCTACAACTCTTATATATTTATTTCAAGTCTCTATTCTCTCTTTTGTGTGTCAGGGTTTGTTCTAAACCTCTAATTTCACATAAATATAAATATAAATATAAATAACAAAAAATAAAGTTCTATTCAAATTTAAATTGTAAATTTTATTTTTTATTTAATATAAATACATTATGAATATAAACACATAAAAGTAAATTATAATAAAATAAATATTTGAAAAGAACACTGAATTTTGTTCCTATTTCCCTCTCTTTAAAAAATACATTTCTATTCTCTCTTTTTTTTTTTTACCGTGTTTGTGTGTCAGGGTTTGTTTTAAACCTTTAACCTTTCACATAAATATAAATGTAATTAATTAAAAATGTATATAATTCACTTCACATTTATTTGTGTACCATTTTTAATTTTTAATTTGATATATATAAATTTTTTATATTTAGAATATTATACATTTTTATATAAATATAAATATGTATAATATATATATCTATTGTATATATATATATATATAAATATAATATAAATATATTTATACAATTTTTATTTTATATCATATAAATATATTTCAAAGTGTAACCAACAGCATCACTGCAACACACTGAACTGTGTAAATAATAACATCTATTATTCAGACAGCATGAATGCTCTCAGTGTTTTCACATGTACTTGACAGGCTCAGTGAGGTGAAGGTCAGAGGTCAGAGGTCAAAGGTGAGGAAGGAGTACCTCGGTCTGCACCATGTTGACTCTGCGCGACCGCAGCTCTCTCACACAGTTATAGATGTCGACGACTCCTTCCCGCTCCGCCATGTCCAGCATGATGTCAATCACGATGAAGCAGCCTGTTCGCCCCGCCCCCGCGCTGTGAGCGACCAATCAAAACGCAGATTCAGGTCGACAGATACACACACAGGGATGAAACACAATCAAATCAGCCTACACTGCAGCATCGGTTTACAAAGACCTTCAGCTGAATCTGTGTTTACATCATCTCAGAATCACTGTCATGAATTCATAATTATAAGTTTTATGTATTATTGAGAGGTTTCAAGCAACTTTTACATTAGTTCCAACTTTCCTTACTTGATTGTAATGTCAACATATAAAAAACTAATCAGCACTACTTCAATTTCAACTTCTTTTAATTTAAATAATTGTTATTTTAATTGAATTATTTCAAACTTTTGACTGATAGTGTTAACATAATAATAACAGTAACTTCTGTTCAATATTATTACAATGAGTGTTTCATGATGTGCTTTATTTATACTTTTACATTTCGCAAAAACTGAACATAGATTCATATGTGTCTCTGCAGCACAAAAGCAGTGTTGAGTCGCTGGGGGATATTTGTAGCAATAGCCAACAATACATTGTATGGGTCACAATTATACATTTCTCTTTTATGCCAAAAATCATTAGGATATTAAGTTAAGATCATGTTCCATGAAGATATTTAGTAAATGTCCTACCGTAAATATATCAAAACTTAATGTTTGATTAGTAATATGCATTGCTAAGAACTTCATTTGAACAACTTTAAAGATGATTTTCTCAATATTTAGATTTTTTTGCACCCTCAGATTCCAGATTTTCAGATATTGTGCTATCCTAACAAACCATACATCAATGGAAAGATGATTTATTCTGCTTTCAGATGATGCATAACTCTCAATTTCACAATATTGACCCTTATGACTGGTTTTGTGCTCCAGAGTCACATTTTATAATAATAAACTTCATTTTTATATAGACAGAAGCAGCTTCTCAAGGCAATTTAAATAATAAATACAAATCTAATATTTTTAAATGAGAAAAATATACTTGTATAAATTATAAACATATCCAAAACACAATAGAATAAGTGAAAACAACAAGAACAAATGAAATGCAAGCGCTCATGTGTGGCGTGGCACCTGCAGTGGACCGCGATGGGTCCGGCGTTGGGGGGGGATTTGGCTTTGACCCGGCGCACGAATCCCAGCAGACCCGTGGCGTGATACGGAACGCCGTGATCCGGCCAGCCGGTGAAGTGAAACTGACTGATCTCACGGATCTCATGAGCTCCTCGCTGCAGAACGGACAGAGACTTCATCATCGCCTCGCTTTCACACACAAAACTACAGCAGCAGCTAGCCAAGAGCTTTTGAATAACTCATGACTTACATGATGTAATAATTTATTAAATGATTTAATAACATCGTGATGTTTTTAAAGAAGTCAAGGCTGCATTTATTTGATCAAAAATACAGAAAAAAACAGTAATCTTGCAAAATGTTATTACAATATAAAATAATGGTTTCTATTTTAATATCCTTTAAACTGTAATGTATTTCTGTGATGTGCAGCTGTATTTTCAGCATCATTCCTCCAGTCTTCAGTGTCACATGATCTTCAGAAATCAGTATAATATGCTGATTTATTATTAGAATTATCAACAGCTGTGCTGCACAATATCTGTTTGGAAACTGTGATACTTTTTTCAGGATTCTTTGATGAATAAAAAGTTAAAAAGAACAGCATTTATTCAAAATAGAAATCTTTTCTAACAATATAAATCTTTGCTATCACTTCTTAACAATTTAACACATCCTCGCTGAATAAAAGTTTTAATTTCTTTCAAAAATAGAAAGAATAAAAATATACTGGCCCCAAACTTTTGAACAGTAGTGTACATTGTTAGAAAATATTTCTATTTTAAATAAATGCTCTTCTTTTTAACTTTTTATTCATCAAAGTATCCTGAAAAAAAGTATCACAGCTTCCAAAACAATATGAAGCAGCGCAACTGATAATAAATCAGCATATTATACTGATTTCTGAAGATCATGTGACACTGAAGACTGGAGGAATGATGCTGAAAATACAGCTGCACATCACAGAAATACATTAGATTTTAATGTATATTAAAATAGAAAAACGTTATTTTACATCATAAAAATATTTCACAATATTACATTTTTTCCTGTATTTTTGATCAAATAAATGCAGCCTTGACGAGCAGAAGAGAAACACTTAAAATCGTTCTGATCCCAAACTTTTGGCCGGTAGTGCATTTCTAACAAAACCACATCAAAACAACCTAAATATTACTGTTTCCAAACAAAATTAATTCATTTTACTTGCATAAACTTTCACGTTCAGATTAAAAAAGGTGATCAGTTTCTTTGCTGCAAAGGTTCATCAATACACTCTCAGAAAAAAGGTAGAAAGGTTTTTCAAACAGCACACCTTTGTACTTAAAAGGTCCATATTGGTACCCAAAGTGTACCTAAAAGGTACAAAAGTGTTCCTTTTAAAAAGGTACTTGTAGCTTATTTTCTGAGTGTAGCTAAAAAATATGCAATGGTTTGTCAATAGACGTACATATTCATATTTACCAGCAAAATTCAGTCCCAAAGTGTGTGAGATATGGGGAAATATATTTTACTGACGTTTTTGGCACTAATTGTACTCCATACATCAAAATGACCCAAACACAAAACATGTAACATTTTTATTTACAAATGGTTATATCTCTTAAAAAATAATGGTAAAAAATGAATGACGTGTATTTTGAGGGTTTTAAAGCATTTGCAAAGTTTCGTTCCCTTACTATAAACGATGCACTTTATAGAATTAAGTATCGAATCTATCTCGTATTTAAGAGCGTCTCTCACCTTCTCCACCGCAAACGTTCTGATGACGTACTCGGACAGAAGCTGCGTCTCGATCAGCGTCACCTTGATGTCTCTGTAGATCTCGGTGTCGTCCGGCCAGTACTTACAGCACTTCACCTCACACACACACACACACACACACACACACACACACACACACACACACACACAGACACACAGACCTTCATCAGAGGAGCACAGCTTCGAGTCCGGCTCGCAACGCTCAGAACTGCTGTTTCTTCTGTAACTGTCCAAATAAGCTGATTTATGCAACACATGTTTATTTATATTGCACATTTCATACACAATGGAAATTCAAAGTGCATTAGATAAAAATGATACAAAATAGTAAAAAATATGGAAGTTTCTGCAACAGTATAAAAAATGTAAAAAGTAACTGCGACTTGCAATTCAGACTGTTTTTCTCAGAATTTTGGCTTTACCTTTCACAATTCTGTTTTTCCCCCCACTATGGAATTTATATATATATATATATATATAAAAACTAGATAACTGCAACTTTTTAACTCATAATTCTGAATTTTTGTCATGCAAGATTATCTTTATTATCAAGATTATCACATTCTGGAGTTTTCTTCTCAGAATCGCAAGTTTATATTACATATAAATGTTATAATCAAATTTGCTGTAGAAGTCATCTCAACTTAAACTATACTGAACTATGACTTAAAAATTGAGGTGCATCTCATATAACTTAAAAAATAAAATGTTAACAATGTTAAATGTTAACTTAAAATGTTAACTAATCCTAAAAAATTGTTTTTTAACAGTAGCCGATCAGTTTTGATATGAAAAATACTACACTGTAAAATTATTTGTTGGTTTAACTTCCATTAAGTAGCCGAACCAACACGTTTTGATCAAACAATGCAAAATTTGAAACAACAAATCAAGTTTTGAGTTTATTTAAACTACAAATTTGAGTCGATACAAAGAGATTAGATTATTCAACAGAAACTCAAAATATTGAAATAAGTTATCTGAACAACATTTGTCGATCTAAGCTGAACTGAGACGAGATTTGTGAAAAGTTATGATGACGAATGATGAAAATGTTTTCACAGTGACTTTCTGAGGAGTAAATGCTGTCGAAGCTCGCCGTGTCTGACCTTTCGTCTGTGATGGATGCATGTGATAGCGCTCAGTTTGAAATGTCACCTGATCACATTAAATGAACCCTTCAGCGGCGGTGATGATTAACATCGTGCTCCTGATTAACACACGTATTGATGTTCAGATCAATGCACCGTGAGGATCGTCCTCCATACGCTCTCATTTCAACAGCCTTAACTCCTATTGATTCGATTTCTGAACACATAGAGCATCACGGATCAGCATCTGTTGCCACAGCAACCACAGATAAACCTCTATCAGTAGTTTCATCTGTTTCTGAAAACCATTTATTCATTTGCAACATTTAATGACTCTAACATGTCAAGAGGTGTAAGCATCAAATCAAAGCAATCTTCAATTAATGTGTTAACGTTCCTTAATCATTATTATTTTTTATTTTAATATTTTTTTTACAAACAAGCTTTTTTAAAGAAAAAAATTGATTACAATAATTAAATATGTGACCTCAAATGTTATAGTAGTAGGCCATATGCTACTAATTAAAATGAATTATTTAGTGCTTCCAGAAAAGCAATAGGAATAATTAAATTCCAAACAATTCCCATTAGTTAGTCAATAAACCTGAACATATTTCATTAATCAACATCTGTCAGCCAATCAGAATCAAGAATTCACCAATGATGTGGATTTTACCAAGAAGTTTTGCAAGTAATTAAATTAATATAATTAAAATGTAATTATGTGACCAAAAATGCTACAGTAGTAGTTCATAGGAAAGCACAATGAATTATTTGGTGCTTCATTAAAAGTCTATTAATAAAATAAAAATAACCAGTATTTTTACACTTTTAATTAATGTGAGTTTACACACCTTAATCATTATTTTTAAAAGAGTTAAAAAACATTTTAATGTAGTCTATGTGAAGAGTTTTGATTAATTATTTGGTGCTTCTTTAATATAAACAAACCTGGAATCATTAAATTCCTGAAAATTCCCAGTCAATAAACCAGGAATTCCATTCCTAACCCTATTTACAAAAGAGTTTTCTTTCTATTTTAAAATATTTTTTACATGCACATTTTGTCTTCCATAAATAAATGAATGAATTAATGTTAACAAAAAATTATGGCAGGCTATATTTTAAAAGTTTTGATGACTTATTTGGTGGTTCCTTAAAAAGAAATCGATCTAGAACCATCCTTAGTCAATAAACATGGACATACTTAATTATTCAACTTTTGGAACGTCTGTCACCCAATCAGAATCAAGTTTTGTTAGTAGAATAAATAAATTAAAACGAAAATATGAAGTATTCTAGCTAATCTTACAGTATTAAAGCTGGTAGGCTAGATGATGGTGCTTCTTTGAAAGAAAACAATTTCCTGAAAAATTCCCATCGCTAGTCAATAAACCTGGACGTACTTTATTAATTAAGCAACACCTGGAGCGTCTGTCAGCCAATCAGAGTTAACACCATTCACCAATGCACTGCTATAAAGCGACTCCAGAAGGATGTTCCCGAGTCCGCTCGTCTCCTGATGAGTGAGACAGGTGTCGAATCTCCCGGTGATGTAATTCACACATTAATGTTCTCAGCCACACATTACGCTCAGCTAAATGAGTTCTGCACTTCCAGATGTGACACGATACCCGACCTCACACGTCTGACACTCACAGAGCGACTCCATTACACTTCTCATGCAACGCAAATAAAACCTCATTATGTGGCAATATAATCCAGTCAGCAGAGAATCAGAAGTATTAGAACAGCAGCACTAATAACTCTCAGCCTGCAGCCGCACACGCTATCCCATCCAATAGAACACGAATAAACATAAGCACAGCGTATATGACAACATGATTACAAAATCCACTTTACAGTAAGACATCGAGCACAACAGAGAGAGAGAGAGAGAGAGAGAGAGAGAGAGAGAGAGAGAGAAGCGTGGGGGAGGACATACTTAATTATTCATCTTTTGAAACATCTGCCAGCCAATCAGAATCCAGAATTCAGCAATGCACTGCTATAAAGCGTCTCCAGAAGGATGTTCCTGAGGAATCTCTCGCGATGTAATTCACACATTAATGTTCTCATTCACACATTACGCTCAGCTAAATGTGTTCTGCACTTCCAGATGTGACATGATACCCGACCTCACACGTCTGACACTCACAGAGCGACTCCATTACACTTCTCATGCAACGCAAATAAAACCTCATTATGTGGCAATATAATCCAGTCAGCAGAGAATCAGAAGTATTAGAACAGCAGCACTAATAACTCTCAGCCTGCAGCCGCACACGCTATCCCATCCAATAGAACACGAATAAACATAGTCAATGAGTATATGACAACATGATTACAAAATCCACTTTACAGTAAGACATCGAGCACAACAGAGAGAGAGAGAGAGAGAGAGAGAGAGAGAGAGAGAGAGAAGCATGGAGGATTGAGACACGTGCTTTTTCCCAGCAATACATAGAGTGCAGAAATTCAATTTTCTCCAGCATCATTAGAGCCGGAATGTGATTGGAGACACGAGACGGAGACACACGAGAGTCTCCCGCTGAGACGAGCCTCCAAACGACTCCATCTCAGAGTCCTCCTCCGGGATCAGATGACAGAAAAACCATCGGATCCTTTCAGTAATTAGGACAGAATCTGTGTGTGAGTGAGGGAGAGAGTGTGTGTGTGTGTGCTTGAATATATGGTTTATGTGTATAATGACATGGGTATTTAAAATGTAAACATGGTTTATGGGGTTTACACTGTGTCCCTGTGAACCAAATATCTTAAAAAACATACTAAACATTTGGATGGATGGAACGATAAATGGATCAACAACAGATGGATGGATGGACGATGGAGGGATTAATGATGGATGGATGATGGATGAAGGGATTAACATTAGATGGATGGATTAAAGATGGATGGATGATGAATGGAGAGATTAACAATAGATGGATGGATGATGGATGGAGGGATTAACAATAGATAGATGGATTCATGATGGATGGATTAAAGATGGATGGAGGGATTAACAATAGATGGATGGATGGAGGGATTAACATTAGATGGATGGATGATGGATGGATGATGGATTGAAGGATTAACAATAGATAGATGGATTAATGATGGATGGATTAAAGATGGATGGATGATGGATGGAGGGATTAACAACAGATAGATGATGGATGGAGGATTTAACAATAGATGGATGGATGGATGGATGATGGATTGAGGGATTAACAATAGATGGATGCAGGGTTCAACAATAGATGTATGGATGATGGGTGGATGGATGGATGGAGGGATTAACATTAGATGGATGGATGATGGATGGAGGGTTCAACAATAGATGGATGGATGGATGATGGAACGATTTGGCCCACCGACTGAGCCTGGTTTCTCCCAAGGTTTTTTCTCCATTTCTGTCACCGATGGAGTTTTGGTTACTTTGTCTTGCTTAACTAAGGGACACTCGACTGATTGCACAGACACTATTGAAGAGAGCTGAACTGGATGATTACATCACTGAATCATCAATGAACTGACTTTAGCTGAAAAATGGATGATGGAGGGATTAATGATGGACGTATGATGGAGGGATTAACGATGGATGGATGATGGATGGAGGGATTAACAATTAATGGAGGGATTAATGATGGATTGATTAAAGATGGATGGATGGATGATGGATGGAGGGATTAACAATTAATGGAGGGATTAATGATGGATTGATTAAAGATGGATGGATGGATGATGGATGGAGGGATTAACGATGGATGGATGATGGAGAGATTAATGATGGATGGATGGATGATGGATGGAGGGATTAACGATGGATGATGGATGGAGGGATTAACGATGGATGGATGATGGAGAGATTAATGATGGATGGATGGATGATGGATGGAGGGATTAACGATGGATGGATGATGGAGGGATTAACAATTGATGGAGGGATTACTGATGGAAGGAGGGATTAAAGATGGATGGATGGAACTGGGCTGGCCGATATATTATGACATGATTATTCGGTAGGAATTTGTCAACCGATAAAATTTGTTTGTTATTGTCCTGCAAAAATTGCATTTTTGACAAACTATTTTCCTGTTTAATACTCTAAAGCTGCTTTGACAGAATCAGTATTGTATAAAGCACTATAGAAATAAAGGTGCCGTATGACATATGATTAACAGTAGATGGCTGGATGGCAGGATAGATAGATAGATAGATAGATAGATAGTTTCCTCCAGAATGCCAGAGCTGAGTGTGGCTGCAGATGGATGTCAGTGGAGCGCGGCGGTGGGTTTATGGGTCTCTGCAGGGAAGCAGTGCCGCTCAAGCCCACATTAGATCAGCATCATATAACAGACCGGCACCACACATCTGCACAGCTGGACTAGAGGAGATCCACGACTGATCACAGCCTCCATGAACTGAAGCTCTGTTCAACAGCATTATCAAAGCCATCCGTTCTGATCCGGCATCAGTCAACCGTTAGAATCAACAACATTATTATGATTAACAAATGCAATGACAAATGCATAATGAGCATCACGACTGAATGTTTGCGTTTTTAACAGAAATCATCCTCTACAGATCTACTGTATATGAGCAAACGACTCAATCAAATTATGAGTCTTTATATAACTGTCATGATGAGGTTTATTCAGTCTTACTGCATCCAGGTCTACTTTTAAACATGTTGAATTTTAATAATAATGAAATGGATCAAGCTGCTAATGACTGTAATTAAATGAGCTGATTTCAAAGGTGTCTATATCCAATGATGAAATATGTAAACTCATTCACAGCTTTAAATAAACAAATGTTTTATTATGTAAAAGGATGAAATGTAATTGTCAGTCTACAAAACTCTAGTCTGTCTGTAGACTGGGCGGTTTGTGCTGTTCTGTCTGATAATGAGCTTCATTGATCAGTTTCTGGCCACTTCACATTGATGAAGCCCAGAATGCATCATTTACTCAGCAAGTGATCCTGCGGGAGTCGATCACACACACTCATCTGAACTGCAGACACCAGCCAAACACACACACACACACCCAAGCACACACACACACACACACACAAACTCTACTACTGTTCACCACTGGTTATTGAATAGAACTGATCTGAAAAATGACTCTATTGTCTTCTGTAGAGCTGCTTTACAGCTGAAACAGAGTTTGTTTCATAACTGATGAACCTTGCAACATCAACACTTTTATTTTCCTGGTTATTACAGTGAAACAGTCTGTATTGTATAAAGCGCTATAGAAATACATGCGGCTTGATATGATTGTGAATGTAACTCAGAGATGATGCTGTGGTTTTGTGAGATTCTCAGCAAACAGCTGTAGTGCAGATGATGTGTGATGCAGATGTTCGCACAAACACACACTTTCACACTCACCCTGCCAACTTCCACCAGGTTGGTCACCATGACGATGGTTGCCGTGTTCTCCTGCCACACCATCCTCCAGAAGTCGATGACGGTCTCCTGCATCGGTCCTGCAGAGAGAAAACACACGACCGACTCAAACACAATCACACCTTCATCATCTTCAGCTTAATTGAACAACCTTTGAGGAGTTATTCCATTATGGGACCAATTCATCTGAATTAATGTTGTTTTTAATCAAGTGCTGACTCTAAAAAGAAAATTACTTTTGACAAATGATTAAAAGTGTTTTAATGGCTTTATGAGCTCTTAATGTGAGTTCAGACCTGCTCACACACACACACACACACACACACACACACACACACACTCTCTCTCTCTCACACACACACACACACACACACACACACACAGACACACACTCTCTCTCTCACACACACACTCACACACACACACTTGCATTTGTGGTTTACGGGGACTCTACATAGGCGTAATGGTTTTTATACTGTACAAACTGTATTTTCTATCGCCCTATGACATAACATTTGCTCAATTATATTATTAAAGCACCCAATAATGATGTGAAACGTGGATGTTTTATGTGTCTAAAGCATATGAAGTGAATAAACTCGTCTTCATCAGCTCACTGTTTTACATAAACCATGAGAAACTATAAAAACTTTCGTTTGACGCCTTCATTCAAGTGTTGGGTTCACGCATGCGCAGATCAGCGGCTCATCGGTCTTCGGTCCGAGTCGAACTGTTTCCTCAGCACTGAATGATTCATTCATCACAGGATCAGATACGACAGTATTTCGGCTCATTTGGAGTCAGAGTGACTGTCAGGCGTCTGAAAGTGACTTCTGATTCAGTAACTTGTAGATCTGTGCTGCTCGAGCCGCGAACTGATTCAGTCTGATTCGATGAACTGATTCAACTAGTTCACTAAAAAGAATAAGTTCAAAAGAATGATTCATTCATGAACCGGACAGCACTCTGGACCGTTTGCCTGAGGCTCTGGATTACAGTTAATAATGCTGTAAATAATGTTCAGTTTCTTGCACAGACTGATCGCTTCTCTTCATAAGACCTCGATATATCATCAGGAGCCACAGGTATTAATTCTGTGTTGCCTGTCGATGTGTTTTTGACTCTCAAAGTGACGGTAGCCATTGACTTGCATCTTATGATTCACAGAGAACCACGCTTTCAGCTAAAAATCTTCTTTACTGTTCTACTGAAGAAAACAAAGTCATCTTGGATGGCCTGAGGATGAGTAAATTAACAGCACATTTTCATTTAAGGGTGAACTATCCCTTTAAATCACAAACACACACAGACCTTTAATGCTACTTTGTCAAGAATGTTAAAATCTCTGCTTCGTGGAACCCAAATATGAAGACGAGAGCAGACTTTTCAGAAACTCTATGACAGTATAAGATACGACAGTATGTTGCTGTTCAGCTGAACTAGTTCACATTCAGGCTGTAAGAGCATCTCCATGTTCGTCAGTCGTGAGGCTTGAAACGCCCCTCGATGGCTCGAATGTCTTCTCTCGCTCCCACTCGGCCGGCCCACGAGTCTCAGGGGACGCTGGGATGATGGGAGGCGAGCAGGACATCTGCTGAGTGGGTTTGTAACGCCACACCGCAGCCTGTCAGACACACGCTCTCATCTTCAACAGTTACCGTCGGCACAAACACACACGCGTGCCAGTCTAGCAGAGGTGTTTCCAGAAACTGCAGCGTCTGCTTCACACGAGCAAATGATCTGCAACAGAACCTGCTCAAGCTCCTTCACCATCAGAACCAGCAGCAGATTCACTGATTCCTTACAGACTCTGCTCTACAGCGCCACCTACTGATCACCACATATCAAACAGTGCTACTCTTGCTTTGAATATTTGGTGTCTTTTGAACATACAGAACAAAATGATATTCCTCAAAATGAGCTCAAACAAAACTGACAACATTATAGGGTTTTATCATTAACTAAAACTATAAAAACATCTTCTTACTTTTTTACTGAAATAAAAATATAAAAAACTTATATTATCGTTAGCTAGAAAAAACTAAAAACTACAATGTAAAAAAAGGACTTCTCGAAACTAATACACATATTATTATTCATAATAATATAATTATTTATTTGTTGTACATTTTACAATAATTTTTTTTTTTCTACTTAAAAATTCAGCATAACTTGCCATTTCCTTGTAATTATTTGTGAAATTTACTAGAAATGTCTGAGTGAACGTTTCTATTTTTTTTTCAGTGTAAAATTAAAAATTAAAATGAACAAAACTATTGAAATTTTTTTTAAACTAATAAAAATGACAAAACATAACAAAATTACTAAAACTTTAACTCAATCTTAAGTGAAAACAGGAAATATAAAAATGAAATCAAATTCAAATTATTACCAAAATCGAATTATGAAAAATATATATATTTTTATTATTATTATATATCTTTTTTTAAATGTTTTTTTTTTAAATGCTTTTTTTTCCCCAAATAATTTTACATATCAAGCAGGACATTAATTTATGTATATTAATTTAACACTTTAATCAATTTAAGTATTATGTAAGTATTACGTAAATAAGAATTATAGCATGATTTTTAAATAACTTTTTTGTTAAACTACCAATGACTAAAATCTTAAACCTCAATATAAGTAATTTTAATCATTACCAGTAGTAATTATATTTGTCCCGACACCAGAACACTGTTTATTTAAACCAAAACATTACAGATTTCATAAGCCTCAATAATCACCACAAACTGAAAGACTAAATTCAGTTAACTTTACACATATGCATTACCGCACACAAAGCCATACATACTATTACTAATTGTTTTTATCATCTTCAAATGTAAATGATCCTGTAATCCAGCTCTAACCTGATAAATGTGAGGAATTCATTATTTCTTATTAGTATTCATTTCTGTGCAACAACGTGCATTGTGAAACATGCTGTGCAAAATAAATACATAAATTAATTAAAAAAGAATAATAAAATAGAGGATGTGGACGTCACGAAACGCTGGAGAAAAGATGTAAATTACAGCTAAATCTGTTCAAATCATAACCCTACTTTGCTTTGATTATTTCAATCATCTTTTAGGAAACATGCATGAACGTACAGTACACAGAAAAAGAAAAGCTAAAATAAGACCTGATATTATCGGATCTTAATATTGACCAAATCAGACTGATGCCAATAACTAAAAGCACTAATATGAAGCACTACCAGCAGGAGCTTCTCTCGCTCCAATCAAGAGGCTTTCACACGCAAAAGCACCGCAAACGCTTGATGACGCGCACCTGGGGCTTCATTCCCAGAATATCTTCAACTGCACATTACCAGGAAAATAAATGTGCTACTGAACTTATTGGAGAAGTTTCAGCAAAAAAAAAAAGAGAGTAAAACACAAGAGGAAACTTTATGCTGAAGTCTGAAGATTCTGCCAAAAAGGGGGAAAATTGCACACACATCCCGTATCACAAACTTCAGCTGCCAAGAGCTGCTGACAGTCATTTCTGGAAACCCACCATTTCTCATCTGATGTGTGTGAATGTGTGTGTGAGAGTGTGTGTGTGTGTGTGTGTGAGAGTGTGTGTGGGTGTGTGTGTGTGTGTGTGTGTGTGGGAGTGTGTGTGTGTGTGTGTGTGTGTGGGAGTGTGTGTGTGTGTGTGTGTGTGTGGGAGTGTGTGTGTGTGTGTGTGTGTGTGGGAGTGTGTGTGTGTGTGTGTGTGTGTGGGAGTGTGTGTGTGTGTGTGTGTGTGTGGGAGTGTGTGTGTGTGTGTGTGTGTGTGGGAGTGTGTGTGTGTGTGTGTGTGTGTGGGAGTGTGTGTGTGTGTGTGTGTGTGTGGGAGTGTGTGTGTGTGTGTGTGTGTGTGAGAGAGAGAGAGCTGAATTCTCCAATAACAGCATAATATAAAACACACTGATAGACGAAAGTCTCTGTGTGCTCATTAATATTACATGTTTGTAACACACACACACACACACACACACACACACACACACACACTCACACACACACACACACACACACACACACACACACACTGCAGCGTTGCTCATCTGCTTTAACTAAAACTAGTCCAATTTAACCATCAAATTAGAGCAATAAAACCAGAGGAAACTGCTGCTCAACCTGCTGAGACTGTCAGTGTGTTGTTATGTGGTTGCTAAGGTGCTCTGGCTGGTTGCTAGGGTTGTGTATCAGACGTTTGATTTGAGGAATCGTTCACGACTGGAACACACTAATGCTCAGGACTAGAGGTTTATCACTATCACTATCAGCACTAGCACTAGTGAGGACTGACGAACCAGCACTAATGAACGAGGGAAAGTTACTGATGATTTACTGGCTTTTGCTGGTTTTCCTACACTGATCTAATAACTGTGAGCTCAAGCTGCTGCGGAGAGTCCAGAGCTGCACTTACTGCCAGAGAGAGAGAGAGTGTGTGTGTGTGTGTGTGTGTGTGAAGCTCAACTGGACTGACAGCTGCAGCTCCAAACCTCAGCAGAGAACACACACACACACACACACACACACACACACACGACAAATCTCATTAAGATGTGAGCTCACCCAAAAAATTTAATTCTGTTCATTTATTCGCCACTTTAAAGACACTTCTAAGAAACCTTTATACTGTTTTTTGTTCTTTGTTGAGTTTGACGGCTGCTGATCTTTGTACATTTATTTTAGTCTCTGTTTGAGTGTGTGTGTGTGTGTGTGAGAGCGAGAGTGTGTGTGAGAGTGTGTGTCTGTGTGTGTGAGAGAGAGTGTGTGTGAGAGTGAGAGTGTGTGTGAGAGAGTGTGTCTGTGTGTGTGAGAGAGAGCGAGAGTGTGTGTGAGAGTGTGTGTCTGTGTGTGTGAGAGAGAGTGTGTGTGTGTGTGTCTGAGAAAATGATGGCCTGAGTGGCTTTAACATGCTGTCTGTCAAAGACAATAACATGCATAATACATAACACACGTGCAGTGCTGGGTAGATTACTGAGTAACTGCAGTCCAAATTACATGAGAAAAATTGTAGTAAGTAACCTAATCCATTACGTTACACACTTTGATTACTTTTAGATGACTTTTGACCT